AGCCTACCACTAAATCCGCCCATGGACTTGAAACGATAATTGATAATAAAACATAATTACAAGTTATCCGTTCGTTTTCCAGTTTATCTAAAACAAACGTTGACTAAATATATATAATAAACATTGAGGGTAGGTAGGTAGAGAAAATCAGGTTACGTTTTTTGGTAACAGACTGTATTTGACGTTGAAATTTAGAATTGATTTTTATTTTAATTTTTTCTGGTGAGACGTAAACACAAGTTTGGTGACCTTTGACCATTTAGTAAATCATTAAACAAAAATCTTTTGCACATTGTTTTACCATGCCTTCCGTAGAATGTTTAGTTTTTTGACTTAAATTATGTTGAATTTTTTAGAAAATATTTTTTCTTTTTTTCCACGTGTTTTTATTAGAAAAATATTATTTTCTTTATTCCACGTGATTTTTTTATCTTATTTTCATCTTTGTGGTATTTCTAGAGTTTGGCATGAACCCCTATAAATACTCGACCATTTTCATAAGTTTTGTATTATTGAAATATATAATAATTGTGTAAGCACATTTATTGTATTTGTTTTCTCTGTATTAGTCAATTGAATAAACTGTCATGTTCCTCTACCAATTAATTGTTTGCTTTTTATTTTATTGTTTGTTTGTTTGCGATCATATACTTCATATTGTATCATATATATTATTTTGACCGTTTTATTTCTCAACACAAGGAAGTATGCATTGTCAGTCATATAAATCCAACTCATTACGGAAACAAGTGAAGAACTGCACTCAATCAGGGGAAGATCTGCACCATCTCCGGTGGCGGTGATTGAGCAGTCTATGTGCCTTGATAAAAATTAGTCATGAGAAAAGACCCATTTAAGAGATCTTGAGAACTCGTAAAATTCTTTACTGGACGCACACAACAATCACTTTATTTCAGCTTAGTTGTGATTTGTAGGGTCCATCCAAAACCTTAACGTGCGCCGTGATATTTAGCTAGAAAAATGAGTAGTAAAGAATGCAATCACGCATTTCCCTCGAACAGAAAAAGGGAGGGGAAAAATAACAAGATGAGCAACTCTACAAGGTTAGTACTGAAGGGTTTGAAAGAGTAGCTAGGATGATCAGTATTCCAACAGAGAGAGAATTGTCAAGATTTACATAAATATTTTAAAATAAAAAGAAAATTCCACCTCCTTGAAGAATAAATGAATGATATAATAATATCTGAAGTTCTTCCCACATGATCCACCGGAATATTTTGCCTCACTGATTACATAAAGTAAAACGCATGGAAAACATCTCTATCTGAAGCACACTGAAATACCAAATTCCATAACGAAGTACAGTGCTTCAGAAGAAGTACTGAAGCAAGATGCTCAACATGTGACCTTATTCTTTTGTCCATTCAAAACCAATGAAATGATCTCAATCTCAATCTCAATGCCTCCACACAGTTATACGTATACATAAGAGTGTGTGAAAGAGATGCGTAGAAATGCCAGAATACTGTGTAACAGAAGGCACTTTGGTCCCTATTCAAAACTTCTTTCCCCGGAGCAGCAACTGAAAGAGAAGACCAAGTATGCCCAAAAATCTGAAACGGATTCCTGAACAACATATAAGAGATATACCCTAGAAACCATTTGAACCAGAGCTGAAACATTGAATTACCCGAGAGTGATCTTTTCTGTTAAAAGTTGTTCGGGTAGTGACACGACCATTTCCTCGATAATTGAAAGCTGCTTATCTAATTAAGTCCCATTTTTCGAAAAGGGTCATGCTATAAGGAGCACTGTACAAGATCGTTCGGAACTAAAGTCTTCTATCTTAATCAGTGAAAACCAACATAAGTAGACTATTGCTCTGTTAGTATAAAACCATGAAGTTACCTTTACTTCAACTGCAAAGAATGGATTTCCATTAGCCATCTATTTGGTTCAGATAATGTAGTTCATAATGTACATATTGGGGCAGGGGATGACTATTGGACTGCATTAAGTTTGTCAATTATTTTTGGAAGGAGATTTAAAGTTTCTCGAGCACAAAAAGAAACAAATAAGCTAAGATACACACAACCCTCACTGCTATTTTTGTCGCCAGGGTTGAGAATATAATTGGTTATAGATATACTTCTCCAATTATACCTAAGCATTTTATAGTTAGAAAACTTTGGCAGATACGAAGTTAAAACACGGTTTACCTAATTAATTTGTAGGCAGATCAAGAAAGAACGTGAGTACAACAAAGTGAGATAGGAAAGTTTTTCTTGCAACAAATACCACGAGGGAGACACAAGGCAAAACAGATCCCTTAATACCTTTTCTATCATCTAGTAGTTTTGATTTCAAACTTTGTAACACTTCTGCATTCACCTCATCTGCCCTTCGAGAGCTTTTAGCATACCACCAATTATTTGCTTCCTTCCGAAGATGAAAAACTGAAGCAGAGGAAAGCAAGCTTAAGCAATTATTGTAGAAATAAGCATTCGTGCATATATGTACATTACATCCCAAGTCCAAATAGTTTCAGCACATTCAGCTGGTATTGAACTACACTTTCTAATGCATTCACTACACTGGAACTTGAGTTTCCTGTATAAAATAACCATGCATTGCATGCACCTCTGGAGAAATGAATGAATTGAGCAAACAAGAGAAGTAACTGAATGGAAGTGAAATTCTCCTATCCTTAAATATGTTTGTCAACATAACCAAGCACCAAATTAGACAAGTCTAAATATGTAAGATAAACACATCCTCAAATCATTTAACAACATAGCACCCCACATATTTATCCTCTAATTTCATCAACGTGACAAGAAAACCAACCAATATTCAACTAATCGGTGAAAAAAAGGAAACAGAAAATAAGCTTTGGGAAATATGATAAGAGCGAAAAAAAGACCAAGATTAATTTACTGCTCGGAACGGTTTTAAATGATTCAATACATACTATTTACCTGAATCGGTAATGGAAATTAATTGTTAACTAATTACATGGTATGCAGGTGAAAGTATTTGAACTTATATGTACCTTAAGTTGCTTCCTGAATTGTTTGAGTTCCCTTGCCAAGCTCGCCAACTGAATTCACATACTGTCTGTTAAACGTATAATATCAAATCAACAACTCTAAGAAACCATCTCCAAACACTTCATAAAGAACCGCCTTGCTCTATTTTATAGCTAAACAGAACAATACTGGGACAGTGTGTATGGTTTAGTGCAAGCAACATAACTCACACACCATAATAAATCAAAGGTCAAGTCCTACAAGCCTACACTGAATATTGCTATTGACGTTTGAAAATGAACTGGTATAAAGTGTTTAAAGTATAGCGGAACAAAGATAATATTCACAAATAAAACAAATAATGTACTGTGTATGAATCAAACAGTAATGACATAATTACTCAATGATAGGAGAGAAGAAAATTCATCAGATACCAACAGTATCGCTTGATTGCCACAACCTACGAGTTGATATTCAACTCCCATAATATACATGTGATTTCAAATACATATCCAATGTGCGGATTCAACAATTTGAAAAACTTGCCCAGAATAAAAAAGTTCTGAAATCTAATGTAAACACCGAACTCAGAAAACATATGTAGGAAAATAGTCTTATTCCGATTACACACGAATGCTGAGACTTATTCCGATTCACGAATGCTGAAGTCGTCTAATTTGCTGAATTCGCCCAAGAGAAATCCGTGGTTGTTAATAATTTGCACACCAAACAGCATCCCAAACTTGACAGACTGGTTATCTGGGAATGAAAAATTATGTCCCTCATTTGAACAAGCCTTGTTCTCCTCAAAAGCTTCCCTTTCTATCGTGCTTACTTCATTCGGAGAATCCAGGGTATCAAATTCATCGACCGTAGGTGAAGAATCTTCAGAGGAATTCTCACAAGGACCAGAATCAATTCCCTGTCCAGCACTCTGTTTTTCCTCAAGTTCACGCTTCTTGGCCAGGTAAACCTTAGAGGCCTCTTCAGCAGTGTTGTAAGTCCCCAACCAAACCCGTTTCTTCTTGAAAGGATCTCTGATTTCAGCACAGTATTTTCCCGATTTTCTCTTCCGCACCCCAATTAATTTTTCCTTTCCATTCTGATCAGGAACCCTCGAATTGAATTTCTTGACTCGTGCACGAATTTTTCCAGAACCCTTCTTCTTGTCAAGATTTTTTTCCGGCTGAAGTACAATCTCACGAACCATCCTCTTCGATTTTTTTTCAGGTCCATCACCACCTTCATCTGATGAAGAATCGGTGGCATCAGGATCTGAGTATGAAACTCTAACCTTCCTTTTCATGGTTTCAATCATTCTCTAGCAGAAACCCTCCTTTCTTTTCTGAGACTCTGCGTTGTTATTTATAGCCCTGTATTGATACAATCTAGGTTAATGATCTTTATGGCAAGAACCTGGAAATTGAGAGAATTGACGATGTTTTATTTGGAAATATATGTAATATATCCGTTATTGAATGGTAGAACTGTTTACATGACGTCATAATGAAAATCAGAACTAGCCCTAAAGGGCCAAGCCCATTAACGTACTCTACGGTACCGAGGAAATTTCTCACTGCTGTCCAGGTTGTAATCACTTTGGGTAAAACCGTAAAAGCACACATCCTTTAGATTCCTATATTTTTTTGGTAAATTCTTTTAGGGGTCCCAACCTTTCGTTTAATCACCTCATGCATCTAACATTTTAATATTGTGAAAATAGTATCCCCGATCTTACGGTCTATTTAGATGGAAAAATGACACTCATTAGGCACATTGTACAACAAATTTCGTGTATAAAAGTACAAAATTTGTTATAATTGATTTTTTGGAAAAATATAAAATGGACTGATCCTCTTGCGACTGCAAAATGCATCATCTTATTAATTATCCGAGTGTTTAAAGACATATTGACTCTTAACCTTTCTTATTTTTCTGCTTTATTGCTTGGAGTAAGGGGCAACGTGGCTTGAATCTTGGAGTTCAAGGCTTGTTGGGAACTTAATTTGCTTTATTTTTTGGGATTTTTGACTTGAATCTTTGAGACTTAGTTTGAAACTTTGGGACTTGGATTTAAATTTAGTTTTATTTGAAGAAGATTTTCATTTTATGAATTGACTTGGGAACTTGTTTGAAATTGAAATTGACTTTGATTTTCTTGGAATTTCTCAAACTTGGACTTGGCAGATTTTTTTCTCTTTTCCCTCCGGACTAGGAAATTTCTCCTAAACNGATTTTTTTCTCTTTTCCCTCCGGACTAGGAAATTTCTCCTAAACCTATGTTTTTCACTTGCAGTTCACCGTATGATTTCTCTCCAATCTTAAATCCTACTATCTATCTACTTTAATTTAATTTAATTATTTCAAAAAGTATGATATGCTTTTAACTCAGGCTGAATCTTTTATAGACTTTTAACTTTTTTAGTAAACTTAAATGGCAAATAATTAAAAATGGAGGAAGTTCATTTAAATTATTTTATTTTTTTATTATTTTTGATGTTTATACGTGATAAATAATTGATGGTTATAATTGCCCATAAACACTTTTCCTTTGAAAACTACTAAGTGGTAAATCTATTCCCGCTTCGTAAAAATGCATAATCTCTTCCTAATTTGTCCAAGAAGTCTTCAAAGTGAAGAAAACTTATTTTTGAACAATATATCTATCATTCATTTCTCAATTGGTTAGGTTTTGGGTTTACTCCCCAATGGTCACCAGTTCGAGTCCCCTCAAAGCCACTGAGATGAGTACCGATCGCAAATTTCAGGGTCCCGCGGAATTAGTCGAGGTACGCGCAAGCGGCTCGGACATCCACTGTTATAAAAATATATATATATTTATCATTCATTTATTATGTGTCTATTACATGTCCTTTGGTCATCTAAATAAATGGTTCAGGGATATTGTACGTATAATTTTAAAAAGTTGGGAACATGGAACGACCCAAATCGAAGATTGAGGACATAGTGTGGAACAAACAGAAATATTTGGAACCCTTAAAGAAATTTACCCTATATTTTTATATCTTTCTAATTTTCATAGTTTCTTTTTAGAAACTTACATTCTTAACCATATGTTTACTTTTTCGTGTAGACTTGGCCCATTTAATTCATATAATAGCATGTTTAATTAAAATTAAGTTTTATGTCAATGACATATAAGCAGTTTACTTACCCGTTATTGTCACATATGTGAAATATTTGACGTGATTAAAAAAATAATTGTAATCCCAAAAAATACGAGATGATTGTGTAACAAAAGGAATGGAAAAGAAATGATGACACAGAGCAGGAAGAAATTGTAGAAAAAAAATGTTCATTTGTGTTTTTTCTTCTCCCAGCTAAATGAAACAGAGCACGTATATATATATACAGAAAGAAGAATATTCTAACTAAGTCTATCTATGAAAAGTCAGTAATGCCCTTTATATACAACTCAGCAAATGAAAATAAACAGAATGGCAAAGGAGGATGCTAACAACAGAATTGGCGATGCTCATGTGACTGCAACGTCCTTTCCCTTCTCGGTGTGTTGCTGTGATTCATTCTCCAATAATGACAACAATTTCTACCACTCCAATGGCTCTTGTTGCTGCCATTCGTCATTGTAAAATCCAATCTCAATCCCTATACCCTTCGTTGGGAATCACGGATCTTCACCAGCAAGATCCACCCTCCACCTCTAGGTTCCTATATCTCCCCTCACATTTCTTTAAAAGCAACATATAGAAAAATAGAAAGCATGACTGGGAATGGTCACACATTGTTCTACCCTGAATTCTCTGAATCCACCTCAAATGTATTTTATTTTATTTATTTTTATATTTTCTGATTTAAATCACGTTTATAAATGAAATGGAGTGGATTGGATTGGATTGGATTGTTCATTTTTTATACTTTTATCTTCTTCTTTTTTTAATTTAAATAAAGGGTACCATGGTCCAAAATGATGGAAGTGCACGCGCAATTAATGCAGGCATGGATAGAATCCGTGAAAATGATCTCTTGTGCACAAAACCAATAGACTGGGGATGTAATGCCAATTTCCCTTCTAGAAATGCAAATTACAAACTAACCTTTTAGCATTTTTCCCTGTTAATTATATTCACATCATAATTTTTATTACTTACACTACATTTTAATTCAATTAACTCACTCATTTTTTTCTCATTATAGTCCTTGTATTCTTAACTTTTTTTTCGATACATTCTTATCACCAACATTTCATTAAATAGCACATGTCATCTCTAATAGCGGTTCTTATCCAAAAGTTTATTTTCCCATCAAACTTTTAGAAAAAAAAAAACAATAAATGCAAAAGTGTGATAAAGTTTTTTTTTTTATTTGCAATTCAAAGCATGCAAATATAATATTTTAAAATAAATCATTTTCAATGACTAGATGTGATAATTAATTAAATGTTGAAGATTTGAATAGATGGAAAAAAAATTAAGACATGAGTTTTATAATAATCAAAGAATGAGGTCATTAAATATAATTAAAATGCAGTGCAATAAATAAAAATTGTAGTGTGAATATATTTAGCCTTCTTCCCATTTGTACTTGTGGAAGTGACACCACCTACATCATTTTAATAAAATATTCATTATTTTACCGTTCAACTTTTTTAATCGCATAAAATACGATAATATAAAAGTAAAAATGAATATTTTATTAAAATTTGAAGCGAAATTTCTTTATTGATTTCAGTTCAAATCTTGAAACAGGTGAAGAGAACATCAATTTCATGCTTATACAAGACATAATTTGGTCTTTGAGTGGTTGTAGCTTAAACAAGAATGTAGCGTCTATTTATATATTAATGTGTTATTTGTAACTATATAATAAAAAAAATCAAATACAATGTCGGTTTTGTTGTGTATGTTATATTTTATGTTACAAACACGGCTATATAATTGACATACTAAAAAAATAATTTTGACCATGATATGTTATCTTTGTTGTTAGGAATGCTACTTGATGTATCATGAATTGTTTTGTCACTATAAATAAATCTCTATTAAAAGTATTTTGTTTCTTCTCCTATGTAGTATGCTATGAAATGTATGGGATATATAAAGACTTATATCATAGATTAAAATTGTGTCGAGTTTTCTTTTGTTATATAGCACGTTATGAAAAATACTATTTTTCTATTTTTTTTTTTTTTGCTTCATGGTAAGTAGTGATTTCTAATATGTCACATACCATGTCACATGTTATGTTTGTTATATTAAAAAAGTGTAATATGATAGATCTACATACTTTGTTCTCTCATTTTATGGTGGTTGACAATTATGTGTTAAATCGTTATGGAATCGAAAGATGCCTACATGAAGTACGGAATTAAGGAAACACTTAGATGAACATGCAAACACCATTTTACCGTTGAAGCAACTACAAAAAGAAGAGAGGGAAACCCAAGACTTGTCACGTCATTTCCATTTGAGGTTTTTTTTTTTTTGGTTAAATGAATATTACTAATGTTTTTTATAGACAATTTCCATACCATTTATATTTATTTTTTTGCTAATAGAGATCACCATCAATTATATGTAAACTTGTGGTATTGATTTCATCGTTTATTACTTTCATTACTTTAATTTTTGAGAAGGTTCCATTATTGGTGCTTTTGTGGCGTGTTGGGTAGAGATTAAAATTGAAAAATTAGCTGTTATTGTTGACTTTTATTAGACGAGTGAGACCCAATAACTGCTATATTTTCAATTTTTAAGTTTAGCCAAACATGCTCTTGATCATCATTCAAACTTTCTGGTTCTTGCTCGCCATTGCATTATACTGTCACTTTGGTTCTGTTTTCAACTTTCTGGAGTCCCTTTATAGTTCGTGAAAATTGACATTGTTATTTCTTGTAACAATTTTGGATAATTGCTTATGATGTACCTTTCACATATTAGAGATATAAGAATTTCAAAAAATCAAAATTTTTAATTCTAACTTGAAAGTTCAAGTTTATACAGCTAAGGTTCGAGAAGTATTTGCTAGACAGCCTAGACTTTGATAGGATTTGACTTGAAAGTGCGAGCCATTCTGTAGTGAAAAATGAAATTTTTGAGTGCTTACTGTTATGTAATCTTGCTAGACTCTATGAGTAACCGAGATTTTAATTGAGTTGCAAACAACTTGAACACTCGTCATCCCAAGGTAAATAAATTCATATGTACTCTGAACATACCTGGAACGTAATGAATTTTTTTTAAAAAAGGTTGGCCGACAATTAGATATGGCACCATTACATGTGCATCACATAAAAATGAGTCTTTTTCGTCCACCCGAAAATATGTC